GGTGGCGGGCAGGACACTTCCCCCTGTCATTTTCCATTCGGAAACCTGCCTGAGACAGACTCCGGGCCGGATCTGCAGAGCTCAGACGGGCCCACCTGTGCTGGAGTGCAGTCAGATGTGGCCGGAATGAGAGCTTGCTCTCTGTAGAGTTTCCGTTCTGGAAATTTTGTGGGGTTCGCTCCCAGTTGATCGGATTGACACACTTTTTGTTCTCGGCTGCACGTTTGTGTGGGAAAGAGCTTTGCTTCATTGAAGTGTAGAAATGTTAGAGGCTGGTGCAGTTTGTACGTGAAACATTATCCTGGGAACGGCCCCTATTCTCCGGCAGCCCCTAGCAACATGTTTCCAGCGTGTCACAGAACGAGGCTGCATGTCTGCGTGGGCAGACCTGTGTTAGGATCCCATTGCGCAGCAGTCTGATCCACTCCTGGCTTTAAGAGCTGCAGGCTCTTGTGTATGAGATTTGCCGAGCGCTGTTATCTGGAGTACAGAAGCACGAACAGAGGTTTAGCAGAGCGAATTGTTCAGCAGTCCTCAGCTTGTGGAACATGGAGCTGCTTCCTTGTTCCCGGAAGTTCGCACACACTCTGAACGGTGGCATCTTTGCCGTTTCGACTGGAGTGGACGTGCTCTCAGCTCGTGCCCCCCCAGAGACCGCAAACCTGTCACAGCTTCCTCGCGGGGTCCAGAAGCCCCAAGAATAGCGCTCCGGGCTGGCCTGGGCTGTCACACGGGAAGCGCTGCGAACACAAGAGAGAGACTCGGAGCAGCGGAAGAGTCCGTCACGCAGTATTCCGTCTCCGCGGAGCGCCCGGCGAGCTCGCAGGAGGAGATTCAGCTGGTTGGGGTTCAGGTTTCCAGACATTTAGAAACACACAGAAGTTGCAGGACACGTTCTTCTGCTGCCGGGGCTGTTCATTTGTGCAGTTTGAGCTGTTTCCACAGGGAGGGGGATAATACCAGACTAATTGTCCTGTAATTAATAAATATTCAATAATTATTTCTGTATTTTTAAATTGTTTTTCTGCTGTAATTCAGGGTGTTCCTCTAAAAGTGGCCGTTGAGCTGCTGATTTTTCAGTAGCTGTGACCTATGATGCGTCTGTCTGTCTCTCGTGTACTCCTGAGAGAGCCAGGGCCAGCGTCCCCGATCGGTTAGCAATCGCTGCGGTGCGCGCGCCGAACTCGGAACGGTCGAAGAAAAGGGAAACGGAGGGGGGGCTCGGCTTCCGCCAGGTCGCGGGGAGCCACTCGCAGTAGGAGTGTGTTGGGGAGGGGCTCTCGGCATGCTGGGAGACGGGGGGGCGGGATGATGTGAGCAGCTCGTGCTGTCTGAGAATGAGTGGAACTCGGCAGATTTAGTAGCTTATCATGCCTCAATATTGGCTTTCAGGCAGGCCGCGACAGGGCCGCGCAGGGCGGGCGGCGAACTGTAACCCCACACCCCGACAGCGCCGCGGGGGTCCGGAGGGGGCGCGCAGGCGGTTCGGGCGCTGCTGATCCAGTGGAACTCGTGACATCGCCGGGCTGGCGCGGAGGGAAGGGGCTGGCAGCTATGCCAGAGGTTTCAGGAATGCTGGGAGGAGGGCGGGCGGATCGGGTTTCGTTCTGCTCTTGTTGCCCCCGGGTGAAGCCGCGCGGGCCCATGACAGCTGGGCCCTGCAGCGGGCCTGACGGACCGCCGCTCGAAACGCACTGGGAATTTCGCTTTTGCTTTTTCACGGCAGCCACCCCCCCAGCTTGCCTCTGGAGCATTTCCAGAGATTTTTGTTTCCGGAAGCTGTGGTGGCGTTCACACTGAAGGTTGGCTGCCAGAGACACAGGTGTGAGGAATGTCTGATCCTCCACTGGCTAAAAAGGACAGGTCACCTTGCCTGATCCTTACACCACAGTATTACTTGTGCACACCTGCATACCTGGGACTAAATTAGAAGTCCGTGAAACTTCCCAACGACTTTGGACATAGATGAGTCCCACTCATCTCCTGTGTGACAGAGCAGCCCCACTGCACGAAGGTCCGAGGGAGGAGAGATTTATCGCCTCTCTAGTTGAATTCAATGAGAACGTTAGGGAGTCGCATCATTCAAGCCCACAATAGAACTTGGCTGGGGCAGGAGGGTTAACACCCCTGATCTTGTGAGCAGTGCCATGGCGTGTTCAGTGTCCGGGCAATCGGGTGTTTAGGGTCTTACCCAGAGGGCAGCACCTCCTGCATTACAGTGTCTCCAGTCACGCTACTGGGGAACTGGGTTGGAAATTCTGCTGTGAAGGGAAGACCGCCCCCTGCTGGTCTGCGAACACTATTCACAGTCAC